TTTATTCCAAACATCACCTTATAAAGCCTCGTTCCAAATATCACCTTATAAGACAATTCCAAACATCACATTATAAGGCTTCTTTCCAAACATGATGATATAAAACTTTAGTCCAAGCATCACCTTATAAATATTCATTCCAACCATCACCTTATAAATTTTCACTCCAAACATCACCTTATAAAGATTCATTCCAGACATCACCTTTGAAAGCTTCATTCCAAACATCACCTTATATAGCTTCATTCTAAACATTACATTATAAGGCTTCTTTCCAAACATCTCCTTTTAAAGCTTCATTCCAAACATCACCTTATAAAGCTTTATTCCAAACATTATATTATAAGTCTTCATTCCAAACATCACCTTATAAGGCTTTATTCCAAACATCACCTTTTAAAGCTTCATTCCAAACATCACCTTTAAAGCTTATAGCTTCATTCCATTTTAAACATTCATCATTATAAGGTTTCATTCATTAAACATCACATTATAAAGCTTCATTCCGAACATCACCTTTTAAAGCTTCATTCCAAACTCCACCTTATAAAGCTTCATTCCAAACATCACCTTATAAAGCCTCGTTCTAAACATCACCTTATAAGGCTTCATTCTAAGTATCACTTTATAAAGCTTCATTTCAAACATCACCTTAAAAAGCTTTATTCCAAATATCATCTTATAAATCTTCATTCCAAACATCACCTTATAAAGCTTCATTCCAAACATCACCTTATCAAGCCTCGTTCCAAACATCACCTTATAAGGCTTTATTCCAAACAACACCTTATATTTTTTTCCTGAGTGGTAATTTCTTTATTTGATATTACTATGATATTTCTGTCAAAAATGAGAGTTACCCACGTTGGTATTTTGTTTAGTTTTGAAGCCAAATTTAAGTTCATATAATTTAAATTATTTGCTTTTTTAAATTTCTTTTATTTTTAATTTCTTCGCCTTTCAAACTTATGATTTAAACGATATAAATTATTATAAATTAATTCGAAATATTTTAGGCAGCAATAATTAAATAAACAAGTTTTATCACAAATATTTGAATCATCACCAGGAGAACGTGAATTAAGTGTCAGACTGAATTTGCACCTGAAGATTGCAGCACCTGCATGAAACTCCAAGTTGTGCTATCCACCTTGGGTATCATGTATATTCACTAATATATATATATATTCTTGTCATTGTAAACTTAATATATTGTAGGGGAATTGTCATCATTTCATCTTTAATGGCTTCATTCCAGAAAGCTAAGATTAAAAAAATATGGATATCCAAATTTTTTCGTTCTTCGTTTAAACATAATGTTATTAAGCATATCAGACGTTATAAAAAAAAGAATTTCCAATTGTCTATCGTTGGTAATTAAATTGTTTTTAATTTTGAATCATAAACGTGATTACTTAATGAAACCTGTATTAAATATATATATATATATATATATATATATATATATATATATATATATATATATGCTGTTCGATAAAAGTGACCCACCTGGTTTTTTTTTTTACAAAAATATTTTTTGTCTATTGTTTTGGTGGTTAAAATAATTTTAATCTTACTAATATAAAGACCCTTTCCCAACCATCTAGGAAAAAGTTTACTCCCCCTAAGGTATTCTATTGATAATTATAATTTTGGATATAACTGAGATTTAGGGAAAAAACTCTATGCAAAAAAAAAAGTGACTCACTTATTTCCTGCAACTAGTAATCAATAAAAACATAACCAAACAGCTTTAAATAAAGAATAATAGAGGTATAATTTATTTATAATAGTTAATATAGTTCGAAATATTTAATAATCTATGGATCCTCCTTTATTTTGAATAACCTTTTCAACACTTTTGGGCATTGACTTGATTAGGTTCTGGCAAATCTCCTCTCCAAGCATTGAATTCCATTCGGATATGAAATTCACAATCAAATCTTCTTTATTGCTCAACTGCTTTCTCGAGAGCCTGTACTTTATAATGCTCCATAAGTTTTCTATGGGGTAGATGTCAGGAAATTGGGGCGGACATGTCATAACACTCACCTGCTTCTCATCAAAGTATTCCTTCATCAATTTTGATTTGTGACAGAGAGCATTATCCTGCATAAAAATGAGCTTGGTGGGGTCGATTTGCACCCTTTCAGCAGAAGGGAGCAGACAAGACTCTAAAATTCTCTTGTACTGCTTGCTCCTGAGAGCTTTTTCAATAGGTTTTAAGAAAGCAGTTCCATGAAAAGAAAAGCACACCCAGAACATTATACTGAACGGATGCTTGACAGTACTTACTGCTAAATTCAAAGAGCTTTCAAAGCTTCTTCTTTGGATTTTAGATCGCTTATCCTTAGAATTTACCTCAACTTTCGTTTCATCAAACAATAGGCGAAAAACTTTTAAGGAAAAAAATCAGGTGAGTCATTTTTATCGAACAGCACTGTAAATGACTGACGAGGCATATATATATATATATATATATATATATATATATATATATATACATGACTGACGAGGCAGATTTTTCCCGAAGTAGGTTGCCATTTCTACGGTAGACCAGTTGCCGTCCAAGGCTATAGAACCTGGTTTGTTTTGCTATTTGATGTTACGAACCCCGAAGATGAATGGAGGCATAATGTTACCATAACCAGTGGTCACTTCAAACACCTTCGTAATGACTATTAGACTTATCCAATTCTTTTCCAATCCTTTGAACCCTCCCCAGATTGACACCCAAATACACTGAAATGTTCATATTGGAGCATGCAGTGCGACTACCAAGCAGTACATTATGCCGTTTCCAAATTTTTGGCGGAGTGAATTGTGTTATTGTGCTCTTTTTTCTCACAGACGGTGACCAACTGATGCTAAGATAACATGCAGTTGATAAAATCAAAAACGAACAACGCGCATGCGCGAAATTAAAAATATAAAATGGCGACAATTTACCTATCGCACCCTGTATTGTCCTGGTTTTAATTTTATTGATCAGAATTGAGATTAAAGCTCTTTTAATGTATATTATTAGTGAAAACGTTTCTCTCCTAACCAGACTGACATTTATTGAGTCATATTTCTGGCAAAGTGAATTGCATCATGGTGCGCTTTTTCTCACAGACGGTGCCCAACTGACCCTAATATACTGTGCAGTCGACAAAATCAAAAATCAAACAACGCGCATGCGCGAAATTAAAAAAAATAAAATGGCGACAAATTTACCCATCGCAGCCTCGTTCTGGTTTTAGGTTTGTTGTTGGGGATTGTGAGATTAACGCACTCTCAATGCGTATTATTCATAGTGAATCCTTTTCTATTCTGACCAGACTGACATTTATTGAGTCGAAATTGTGGTCAGCTGTCTGGAATTCTTGAAATTATATCCTGCTCAATACCAAACGCAAAGCCTACGAAATGCACATAAGAAAAGTACAAATACTACAAAAATCAACAAATAATAATAATCCAAAAAACCATTTAAAATTAGACACACACACACATAAATCTTCATCTATCTATCTATATCTATCTATCTATATATATATATATATATATATATATATATATATATATATATATATATATATCATATCCAAACATGTCTTCCATAGACAGACTGTTTCATTCCAAACATCAGTTCATCAGTGTGGCTAGGCGTCGGTTGCATAAAGCTAGGATCCAAACCCGACTGAATAAATCTTCATTCGGAAATATATATATATATAAAAATATATATATATATATACATCAACTTATAAGTGTGTGTGTGTGTGTGAATTATAGATACTTCCAAAAGAACTTTATAAACTTATTTGACACTATATATTGATCATTCTGAACATTTTCTTTACTGTTTCATTAAATCACCTTTATTCTTTCTACTTCTAAAAAATCTTCCAAGACCATACCAAACTAAAGGAATTAAAAATGAATAAATAAATATCCCCTTTAAAGCTCTCATTCAAACAACAACTTTATTTTCTTTCGAATTCCCAGCGCCGGGAGAAGCTTCATTGTGAATCGGCTGTATAAGGCTTCGTTCCAAAACATGCCTTACATGTACCACGCCAAGGCAGCTTTAAAGTTCGATTCCAAACATACTTAACATTATTATAGTCGCTCATTGGCAAACACCACCTATAAGTGCTTCATTCCAAACATTTCTTTTATAACGCTTCATTCCAGACATCACAAATCTGTGGCTTGCACTTGGAGCACCCGGGTTCAAACTTAAACCAGAAATTATACTGAGCAGCGTTCTAAACATTGTAACTTTAAACGTTAGGTTCAAAACATCACCTTATAAATATTTGAAAATTCCAAAGGCCGTCAAATACCCCAAGACCATTCGCGCCACAGGTTTATAGTTTCTTTTCCAGTAAGTAGAGAAGGGCATCTGTTCAAATGAGACCAAGAGGTTCACCGAATTTCGATTTGAAATTGCTTTCTTACTTTTCGCCATTCTTTCTCGCCTTTTTTTCCTAACGATTTCTTTCCTTCTTTTTTCATTTATCAATTCAAGATTTTTCAAATTTTTCTTCTCTACGTTCTTTCATGAATGTTTTCTTATTACATACTTTTGCATGTTTGATTTTTCATTTATTTGTTTCTTTTTTTCTTTTCGTTTTATCTTATTCTCTTTCTTTTAATTTTTTCATTCTTTCTTTCTTTAATGTTTTACTTATTTTTCTTTCTTTCATTTTTCTTTTTCTTTAATCTTTTATTTATATTTCTAGTTTCTTTTTCTTAAATCTTTTGTTTATTATTTCTTTCTTTCTTTTTATTTATATTTTCAGTTTCTTTTTTCTTTAATCTTTTACTTATTTTTTCTTTCTGAATTTGATTGAAGATTTTCTTTCTTTCTGAAATTCCTTCTTTCTTTCTTTCTTTCTTTCCTTTGATTCTTTTCTTTCTTATATATATTCTTTCTTGTATTTTTCTTATATTGTCCGGGAATTTATATTTTTCATAATTTTTTCTTTAGTCTTTTTAAGATTAAAAATATGGATATTTTGATTTTTTTCTTCGTTTTCTTTTCTTTCTTTGAGACGTTATGAAAAGAATTTCTTTTGATTCTTTCTTTATTTCTTTAATGAAACTTTCTTTCTTTATATATATTATTTATATATTTATTTAGTGCTGTTCTTTAAAAGTGACCTTTCTTTTTTTTCTTTAATTCTTTTTTTCTATTGTTTCTTTGGTTCTTTCTTTTCTTTCTTTAATTCTTTTCTTTTCCAACTTTCTAGAAAAAAGTTTTCTTTCTTAAGGTATTTTCTTTGATAATTTCTTTTTTCTTTATTTCTGAGATTTAGAAAACTTTCAAAAAAAAAAAATTCTTTCTTATTTCTTGCAACTATTCTTTCTTTAAAACTTTAACTTTCAAACTTTCTTTCTTTAAAGATTTCTTTCTTTCTTTTCTTTCTTTTATTTCTTTGATTAATTTTCTTTCTTTCGAATTCTTTCTTTCTTTCTTTATTCTTTCTTTCTTTTTTTTTGATTTTTTTTTCTTTGATTTTTGGGCATTTTCTTTCTTTGATTCTTTCTTTCTTTCTTTTTTGATTCTTTCTGATTTCTTTGATTCTTTCTTTCTTTCTTTCTTTCATTTTTTCTTTCTTTGATTCTTTCTTTATAATTCCTTTGTTTTCTTTCTAGATTTCTTTCTTTGATTCGGACATGTTTTTTTGATTCTTTCTTTTCTTTCTTTCAAAGTCTTTGATTCTTTCTTTTTTCTTTCTTTGACAGAGAGCTTTTTTCTTTGATTCTTTCTTTCTTTTTTTTCTTTGATTTTTCTTTCTTTCTTTGATTCTTTCTTTTCTTTTTTCTAAAAATTCTTTTCTTTCTTTCTTTCTTTCTTTTTCAATAGGTTTCTTTCTTTCTTTCTTTGATTCTTTCTTTCAGAACATTATACTCGAACTTTCTTTTGACAGTTCTTACTTTCTTTCTTTCTTTCTTTCTTTCTTTCTTTGATTTTCTTTCTTTCTTTTCTTTGATTTTTTTTTTTCTTTCGTTTCATTCTTTCTTTAGGCGAAAATTCTTTTAAGGAAAAAATCTTTCTTTCATTTTTTCTTTGATTCTTTCTTAATCTTTGAGGCATTTTTATTTATTTATTTATATTATTTCATGACTTTCTTTGATTCTTTCTTTTTTTTCTTTCTTTGCCATTTCTTTCTTTCTTTGATTCTTTCTTTCTTTCATTTTTTTTTTCTTTAATCTTTTATTTATATTTCTAGTTACGAACCCTTAAATCTTTTGTCTATTATTTCTAACTTTCTTTTTATTTATATTTTCGTTTTTTTTTTTAATCTTTTCTTTTTTTTTCTTTCTTTCTTTGATTCTTTCTTTTCAGATTTTCTTTGATTACACTTTCTTTCTTTCATTTCAGCTTTGATTCTTTCTTTCTTTTGATTCATTCTTTCGTTTTTTTTTTTTCTTTACTCCTTTATTTATATTTTCAGTTTCTTTTTTTCTTTAGTCGGTGACCAACTTATTTTAAGATTTCTTTCTTTTTTTTTTTTTCAAAAACGAACTTTTTTTTTTCATTTGCGAAATTTTCTTTAAAATGGCGACAATTCTTTCTTTCTTTCTGTTTCTTTGGTTTTCTTTCTTTGTTGATTCTTTTTTTTCTTTCTTTCTTTGATTTTTGAAAAACTTTTGATTCTTTCTTTCTTTATTTCTTTGATTCTTTATTTCTTTCTTTGATTCTTTTCTTGGTTTCTTTGATTCACAGACTTTCTTTCTTTCTTTTTACTTTCTTTCTTTCTTTCTTTCTTTTTTCTTTCTTTCTTTCTTTGAAATTAAAAAAAAAAATTTCTTTCTTTTGATTCTTTCTTTTCTTTCTGGTTTTTTCTTTCTTTTCTTTCTTTTTTTGAGATTTTCTTTCTTTCTTTGCGTATTATTCTTTGATTCTTTCTTTTTCTATTCTGACCAGACTTTCATTTCTTTGATTCGAAATTTCTTTCTTTCTGGAATTCTTGAAATTATATCTTTCTTTCTTTCTTTTTGCAAATTCTTTCTTTCTTTCTTTCTTTTTTTACAAATTCTACAAAAAAATTTAATAATCCAGAAAAACTTTCTTTGAAGACACACACTTTCTTTCTATCTATTCTTTCTTTCTTTATATATATTTATATATATATTTATTTATATCTTTATTTTTTCTTTTTCCACAGACAGATTGTTTATTTCTTTGTATCTTTGTTCTTTCTTTCTTTCTAGGCGTCTTTCTTTCTTTCTTTTCTTTGATCGAAACCTTTCTTGAATTCTTTCTTTTCTTTCTTTCTGAGATTATTTCTTTTATTTGTTTGTTTGTTTCTTTGTTTGATTCTTTTTGTTTCTTTGTGTGTTTGTTTGTTTCTTTTCTTTTAAGATTTCTTTCTTTTTCAAGAATTTTTCTTTATTTGACACTTATTTCTTTCTTTTTTGATTCTTTTTTTTCTTTCTTTCTTTCTTTCTTTGATTCTTTCTTTCTTTCTTTTCTTTGATTCCAAGACTTTGATTCTTTCTTTTCTTTCTAATTTCTTTCTTAAATTCTTTCTTTCTTTCGGAGCAACGTTTCTTTTTTCTTTGATTCTTTCTTTCTTTCTTTGATTCTTTCTTTCTTTGATTCTTTCTTTCTTTCTTTGATTCTTTCTTTCTTTCTTTCTTTGATTCTTTCTTTCTTTCTTTGATTCTTTCTTTCTTTCTTTCTTTGATTCTTTCTTTCTTTCTTTGATTCTTTCTTTCTTTCATTTTTCTTTTTCTTTAATCTTTTATTTATATTTCTAGTTTCTTTGGCTTAAATCTTTTGTCTATTATTTCTTTCTTAAACCAGAATTTATATTGAGCAGTTTCTTTTTTCTTTTTAACATTTTACTTATTTTTTCTTTCTTTCTTTGAAAAGACTTTCTTTCTTTCTTTGATTTTTTGAAAGACCCTTTCTTTTTGATTCCCTTTGACCATTTCGCGCTTTCTTTCTTTTATTCTTTCTTTCTTTCTTTCTTTCTTTCTTTCTTTCTTTCTTTGATTCCAAGAGGTTTTCTTTTTTTCGATTTGATTCTTTTCTTTCTTTCTTTCTTTCTTTCTTTCTTCCTTTGATTCTTTTTTCTTTAACGATTTCTTTCTTTCTTTTTTCTTTCTCAATTCCTTTTTATTTTTATCAAATTTTTCTTTTCTTTCTTTTTTGACTTGTTTTACTTTCTTTTTTTCATTTTTTCTTTTTTTGATTCTTTTTCTTTTCTTTTTTTCTTTTCTTTTTTTCTTTTTTTTTCTTTTGATTTTTTTCTTTCTTTCTTTCTTTAATGTTTTTCTTTTTTTTGATTCTTCTTTTCTTTTTTTCCTTCTTTTCTTTTTTATTTTTATTTATAGTTTTTTTTTTTTAATCTTTTTGTTTATTTTTTCTTTCTTTTCTTTTTTATTTTCTTTCTTTCTTTTTTTTTTCTTTCTTTTTTGATTTTTTTTTCTTTCTTTTTTGATTCTTTTCTTTCTGTCTTTGATTCTTTTTTTTTTCTTTTTTTTGATTCTTTCTTTCTTTCTTTCTTTTGATTCTTTCTTTCTTTTTTCTTTCTTTCTTTTTTGATTCTTTTCTTATTTTTTTCTTTCTTTTTCTTTCTTTTTCTTTCTTTTCTTTGATTCTTTCTTTCTTTTTTTTTTCTTTCTTTCTTTGATTCTTTGTTTATATTTTCTTTCTTTCTTTTTCTTTTCTTTCTTTTTTCTTTGATTTTTTCTTTCTTTTCTTTTGATTCTTTCTTTCTTTGATTTTTCTTTTTTTCTTTTCTTTGATTCTTTCTTTCTTTTTCTTTTTTCTTTCTTTCTTTGATTCTTTCTTTCTTTCTTTGATTCTTTTCTTTCTTTTTTTTATTTTTATCTTTCTTTTCTTTTCTTTGATTCTTTTTTCTTTTTTCTTTTTTGATTTTTCTTTCTTTCTTTCTTCTTTTTTTATTTCTTTTATTCTTTTTTTTTTTTTTAATCTTTTATTTATTTTTTTTTTTTTTCTTTGATTCTTTCTTTTTTTTTCTTTCTTTGATTCTTTTCTTTCTTTCTTTTTTATTCTTATTTTCTTTTTTTCTTTTTAATCTTTCTTTTTTCTTATTTTTCTTTCTTTCTTTCTTTCTTTCTTTCTTTCTTTTCTTTGATTCTTTCTTTCTTTTCTTTTTTTTTATTTCTTTCTTTTTTCTTTTTTTTCTTTGATTTTCTTTTTTTTTTTCTTTCTTTCTTTCTTTCTTTTTTCTTTGATTCTTTCTTTCTTTCTTTCTTTCTTTTCTTTCTTTTTTATTTATTATTTTTTTTTTTTTTTTTTTCATTTCTTTCTTTGATTCTTTCTTTCTTTTATTCCTTCTTTGATTTTCTTTTTTTGATATTTTCTTTTTTTTTTTCTTATTTTTTTCTTTCTTTCTTTGATTCTTTTCTTTCTTTCTTTGATTCCTTCTTTCTTTCTTTCTTTCTTTCTTTTTTTATTTATATTTTCAGTTTCCTTTTTCTTTAATCTTTTACTTTTTTTTTCTTTCTTTCTTTTTTCTTTCTTTACTCCTTTATTTATATTTTGAGTTTCTTTTTTCTTTCTTTCTTTGATTTTTTCTTTCTTTCTCTCTTTCTTTTTTTCTTTCTTTCTTCTGAATTTGTTTTCCTACTGCTTTATATTATATTCTTTCTTTCTTTATATTTCATTTCAAATTGTTCAGCTTTAGCTCCCAAAATGTATTCCTCCAAAAACGATCTTTCGATCTTAATTTCTTTCTATCCTTTTTTTACCATTTATTACTTCAATCTTTTATATCTTTTTCATTTTGTTTCTTTCTTTTATACAGCTTCTTTTCCTTTTTTTACTTTTTCTTTCTTTCTTCCCTTCTTTCTTTCTTTCTTTCCTTCTTTCTTTTCTTCTTTCTTTCTTTTCTTCTTTCTTTAAGTATTCATTTCATACTGCATTACATTATATTATTTTTTTTCTTTTTTCTTTCTTTTTCTTTCAGTTCATTTTTTCAGTTTTCCTTCTCGAAGAGAATTTTTAAAAAAATATTTCCTTCTTATTTTCTTTCCTTCTTTTTTCTTTCTTTCTTCCTTTAATCTTTTATTTTTACCTTTATTTATTTCTTTTCTACAAATTTTTCTTTCCTTTCTTTAGATCTTTTTTTTCTTTTTTGTGGCTTTCTGTATTTGTTTTCTTCCAGCTTTACTTTATTGACCTTTTCCTTTCTTTTTTCTTTATATTTCAGGACATTTTTTTCATATTTCCCGATACTTTCTTTATTCAATACTGAATTTGAAAACATTTCCATACTATGACCATTCTTTGAAAAAAGTTGTTTTCGTTCTGTCTTCGTAAAGAATCAAATATACGGTAGATCGATTGGATTTACTGATTAAAATAAAAAAAATACATTATATGCTCGGAGCAGTTGGCGAAAAATATTTAAAATTTATATATTTATAAAGACGTCTTTAAGCTTTTTTATTTGTATCAATTATAATTGTTATGTATATTTATTACGCCACTCATGTTTCGTAGTTTTCACTGGAGATCAGCAGACAACGCTCCTCAATGCACCCGAATTATCCTCACGTCACGATTATTTAAAAAATGGCATATATTAGTAAATAGAATCGCCACATTCATGTTTCATTTTCTTTTTTTTTTTCAATTCTGTGCCATGAATTTCGATATTATTTTGAAAGTTTCATTCTGTTTTAATTTCGGTCAAATAACAATATCGATTCGAAGAAATAACTGAGCTGGATTAGGCGACGTATTTTGATGAAATAGCAATATCCATTCGAAGATAGATCTGGGCTGGAATAGGCGACGTATTTTGGTGAAATAGCTGTATCCGTTCGAAGAGACACCTGGGCTAGATTTGGCGTCGTATTTTGATGAAATAGGTGTATCTCTTTGAAGAAAGACCTGGGCTTGTTTAGGCGACGTTTTTGGGTGAAATAGCAGTATCCCTTCGAAGAAAGACCTAGTCTGGAATAGGCGATGTACTTTGTTGAAATAGCTGAATTCACTGAAAAGGTGACTTGGCTTGGAATAGGCGACGTATTTTGATGAAATCACTGGATCCCTTCGAAGAGAAACATGGGCTGGAATAGCAATATCCCTTCGAATATTGACTTATTTTAGTTTCAATGTTTGATATTTACAAACAAGGACAAAAACCAAATAAAACGCATTGGTGATCTTCTAAGCGTTGCTAAGGTCTGATACAAGACCGAAACTATGTAGCAGCCACTGAGAATCGAACTCACTACTCAATTATAATTGATCGAGCGAGACACGTTTGGTAACTTATGTTGAAGTATCCCAAATGCTTTTCTATGCGTAGCTGATATATAGCGCAAGGCCGAAAGTATGAACACACACACAAATATATATATATATATATATATATATATATATATATATATATATATATATATATATATATATATATATATATATATATATATATATATATATATATATATATATATATATATATATATATAAATATTTATATATATCTGTGTATATAAAAAATATAACAACGAAAGATATCAATTAAACATGTCACCCACTCTATCACAAGCTTAACATAAAAATTTGTTATAGTTACTTCTAAAACAATAAGTAATTTAATTAATGTAAAACAAAATAATTACAACCGAAAAGGTGAAGCAGTGATTTTACGCTACAACCTGTCATGAGGCCACGAAAAATATATAGGAGAGACTTCGATGAGTTTAAAAAAAATGAAAGACATCTTTTAAAAGATAACGCACTGAGTGCATCAGTGACTAATGATTCTGATCGTAACTTCGATTTAAAATTATTGCTTTAATTAAAAAGAGAAATAAATTTACTAAGGCGAAAATATAAAGAAAAATGGTCGTGTGAAACGTTAACTTTGTTAAATTTGTGCCTTGGTGCTTACAACATTTCAGCTTTCTCAGGAAATGTTCTTTTGTCACAATATAGGATTTCTAAAAACACCAGTGATGAAAACAAAAACAATAAAATTATTGAAACGGGATGTGATCGGCTGTCCTGTGCGTCTAGACACGTCAGAAATGTAAAAAGGTATCGTCCCGATATCTTCAGTTTCCCCGCAGAATCTATTATAATAAAAATATTATAATAATATTTTGCTCTACTTTGTATTGAGCACTCTTAAAGAAGTAAATACTACGAATTGTGAATTTTTACTCCAACATGTGTTCTTTCTCATATATATATATATATATATATATATATATATATATATATATATATATATATATATATATATGAAATAAAACAATAATCATATGAAGTGTTTCTGTGATTAAAAATACTAAATACACCAATCCATAGGAATGACACCTTAATGAGAAACCGCGTCATTCATACCACTTGAGACTGTGTTGTATATATTTTTACATTGAGCCCTGATTTGATTTACTGGGTTTATTCAGGTTTTAATGAATATATATATATATATATATATATATATATATATATATATATATATATAGATATATAGATAACTAGACTCGTTTCGAAAAACCCTCGAATTTTTGATTTGCTAATCAAATCAATCTCGAGGGAAAAAAGGTTTAAAAAAAAGTAAGAGCTACAAACATGAACTTCTGCCGACAAAAAAATCGCAGAGATACAGGTCTGAAGCCCAAAGAAAAAAAACCCGATACGAGTAACAACTAACTAACAAAAGAGCTCAATACAACCGTAGAGCAGACCAAACTTTCCCTGACGATCCGTTTAGGTGAAACCTAGGTAGGTTTGTCTGGCTCACTAGGTATATATATATATATATCAGGTCATCCCATAAGTTCTGTCCGAATTTTGAATAAAGAAAACAGGTGACCAAAATGTTACATTTAATTACAGATTCAATCATCAATGTATTTTCCCTGATTATCCATGACTTCCTTCCGTCTATTAACAAGCTTACTAATCCCATTACTGTAAAATTCTTTTGGCTTTGATTCGAAGAACTCACAAATGTCAGTTTTAACCTCTTCCTGTGTTACAAAATCTGTTTCTTCCAAATGATTCTGTAAGCTACGAAACAAATGGTAGTCTGAAGGAGCAAGATCGGGAGAATAAGGTGGATGAGGAATTTTCTTCCAACCAAGTTCTTCGATCTTTTGTGACCTGATTCTTGCTGTGTGGGGTCGCGCATTATCCTGATGAAACATCGCTTCTTTTCAATTCACTAGAGCAGGTCTTTTTTCCTCAAAGCTTGGTTCAAACGCTCTAATTGCTGACAGTATATTTGAGCATTAATTGTTGCATTAGGTGGTAAGAATTTAAAGTGGATTATTCCTTGGCGATCCCACCAGATTCAAAGAAGAACCTTTTTCCCATGAAGGTCCCTACTCGGCTGTGGCTGGGGTCCTTCCCCTTTACCAAGCCACTGTCTACGAATCTTAACATTTCGATAAAAGATCCATTTTTCGTCGCCAGTCACAAGTCTATCCAAAAAAGGTGAAACAAATTGGCGAGAATGGAGAGAAGAGCAGATGTCAACTCAGGATTTGAGGTTGTTTTCAGACAATTCATGAGGCACCCATTTTCCAAGTTTAGGAACTTTTCCAAATTGTTGAAGATGACGATGAACAGTTGTATGGTTTGAATTGAGAACCACTGCCAATTCCTCAACTGATAAAGCAGTAGTTTCTTTAAGGGCTGCTTCAAGAAGCTTTTCATCAAACTCAACTGGACGTCCGGTTCGATCTTCATCTTCAAGGGTGAAATATCCACCTTTGAATTTTGCAAACCATCTTCTGCAAGTTCTTTCATTCAAACATTCCCCTCCATAAACTGAGTGAATGTTTCTAGCCGCTTCGGCTGTTGAGTTTCCTTTCTTGAACTCATAAAGCATTATGCGTCTCAGATGATTCTTGGGTACTTCCATGTTAGCAGGGTTTTAATGAAACAAAATTTAATTTTATTGTTCTCTGAAATAAAATTTAATCAGTTTAAATGCATCTAAACATAAAAATAATGATCAGCTCCATTAGACATTATAAAATACTCTTTAAATTTCTTTCATTTTAACATAAAATTAAAATTCAGACAGAACTTATAGGATGACCTGATATATAATATCAGTTGATAATTAGTAGGGATAATTCCAAGGAGTATATGAATCCAAAGAGATCTCAGTGTGAGAACAGATCAAATATAATAATGATAATGTAATAATGAATACAGAATCCTTACAAATCCATTCAGGTGATAGTTTATTTCGTGGACTCAGACATCCATCTCTTCAGACCAAATTTTACAAAATAAACAAAGAAAAGAAAAAAATTAAAAAAGGAAGGGGAAAGAAAAAAGTGGAAGAAAGACGAAACATCCCAAGTCGCTCGCTGCTCTGTCATTATTTTCATGGAAAACGAACTACCTTCCTTAGATCCACCAGTTCTACGACCCACCATACATTCATTCCTTTCGTGTTCCATCTCTGAGATGTAAGTTCCACTCGAGTAGCTTTTTCCTTTGAACCATTCCTTTGTGGAACCGACTCCCAAGATGGTGTTTTCTCGAGTACTAGGTCAACCGTTATCTTCCCCACAAATCCGTCTAAACTCTGTCTGGTACTCTGTAACCCCCCTACCTCGAGTGGCTCCCGGGCCTTGCAGCGGGTGAACCTTACTGTAAAAAAAAAGAAAAGAAAGAGTAGCAGAGAGAAACAGCGAATAAATTACTCGCACGATTTGAATCAATGAATCTAAAAACAAGTGCCAAAATGCGAAAGAATAGTTATAAAAGAGAAAATCTGTATGAAGCAAGCAGAAAATAGGAAGATGTGGAGAACCATAATCGCATATATCCTGTAGCGATGCAGAACACAGAAACAGGGAGAGATGAATTAAAAAGTAAGAAAAATAAATGGCAACATCCCTTGAAGCTGGGTGCTCGGCTGATGAGGCTCCTTGTCACGCATTCTAAATAACCACCTGATATAAATAACCAAACGAATGCGCAGATCACAGATTTATTTTCTTGCTTTGTTCGCCTCGTTTGCTTCCATTCTTTGACCAAATCTGCCCTGCCAAATCTTGTATCTACCTCCCACAGTCACTGGCTCACTTCATCTGTTAATGATGATAATATTATCATTACTTCACTCTAGAACTGTCTTGCCTAAGGCTGTAAAACATCCCTCGAGAGCCCCTTATATAAACAAAGACAATTCTTCTGGTCCTCCCCAAAACGCTTTCAAAACAGTTAATCCTCTTCACTGTTTTTCAAGCATCCCTAAAATCAATCCCGCTT